ATTATGAATAAAGGCTGATAGTTTCGAAAGAAACTGTTTGGGGCTGCATCGGTGGGAGTAACGAAATAATTTGGATATATCAACAAAGTTGAAATGGTAAATTGGCCACCGTAATGATTACAAAAGCTTTTCATTCCACTAATTTATTCATGTTTTTCTCGTTGCCATGCACCCACCAATAACGTAGCTCCATTTTCTGCCTTTAAAAGCACACACAACCCACAATTCCTCTATTCGCTCCGACGAAGGGCTAACGATTGAAACGTCAGCTTTTGTAATCATTACCTTGGCCAATTTACCATTTCAACTTTGTTGATATATCTAAATTAATAAAAACTCAAATGATACTGTTTCCATGTAAGTAAATCCTACATGATACCATACCATCACAGCATTACTGTGGCAACCAACATAATAAAGAGTACACTAAATGAGGGTAACAACAACCCTATAGGGCACAAAGAGGGAGGGGAGAGACAAGAAGCACAAGATAATGAGATGGGGGCACTGAGAAAGCAGCAAGAGAAGACATATATCTTATTAACCAAGCGCGAGGGCCGTACTGGGAGAATATCGGCCTGAGGTCTTGACAGTACGACCTGAGCACAGTTCAGTCCATACAAACAAGACAGAGGACTGATATTCTTCCAATATGATCCCGAGCACGCTTGGTTAATAAGAGATTTATTATACGACTGAAGTTCAAAGGGAAACAAGTGTGGTATCATTTGGGACCATTCGGGACAGTGCCCTGTCCAATACTGAGATAATATTGACCGGCAATAGAGCATTTGGATTGGTTGATTTTAGTTATTGGCCCTCTGACTGCCAGAGTCGTGTAATAATTGATGTTATATGCCTAGATGAGGGCTTATACTATTTTGCGAAACGAAACAAAATTGTACTTTTTTGCGAAACGAAATGAAATTTTGCGAAATGCTGTTTTTTCGCCTTTATTTAGCAAATATGTCCTCTTCGTCCAAAACAAAATGCGTCCACTAATAAAATGATCAATATTTCTAAGAGTCTGGTCAGCTCTCTTTTATTAACCGTAATAGTACTTGTTTCGCAAAGTAGTAATTTTGACAGAATTACTATTTTGTGAAATGGCATTTTTTCACCTTTATTTAGCAAATTTGTCCTCTTCATCCAAAACAAAATGTGTCCACTAATAAAATGATCAATTTTTCTCAGAGCCTGGTCACCTCTGACATTCCTGCAACAGGAAACAAGTATACAATCCGGCTAGTAAAATCCGAAATTGCATTCTCTCACCAAGCACAGGGCCACAAAAAGCAGAAGATTTGACCAAATTAATTGCCAAGCTTTAAACTTCTGATTTTGTAAAAGATGTTTCATTTGATCTGCGCCATGGAAAAGACACCACAGCAAACACGTTTGCAGCAAAAGAGTTGCATATTGAATGGTTAAAGACATTTTGTTCTGGAACCAATCCCAAATCGCAATGATTTCCCAAGTATTCTTTAATGAATTCTTGTGCCAGATGAGGCTTTGTGACGGTTTGTTATTTTGCTCACCTTGATTTACACTTGACCATACTACCTAGGCTTGGGAAAGAAATTTTGGAGAGGAAATTGTTGTGGCCAAACAAAAAACCATTAAACCAAGTCATATGTGTGACCAGGCTAACAATTGTGCATGACATTGCAATATTTTTTGTTATAATTTTAGAATTACATCTTCAGAAACTATTTCCTATGATAATCAAATTATCATACACACAGGATTTGCATCATAAATTTCCTTTAAGTCACACCATCACACCTAACTATTTCCTATGATAACCAAATTATCATACACACAGGATTTGCATCATAAATTTCCTTTAGAATGATCACACCTAACTTCCAAAATTCTAGAGAATTTCCTGCTATTGCTCGATTCCTTATAAAAGAAGTACAGTTAGTTAGTTTAACTCAGTAGTTCAGAGTGTCCAGACCAGCACTTACTAGCTCAGAACCTCTTGGTCACAGAAAAAGTAACTCCAGTACATGTAACCTCAAGGTAGTGACCTATTCTACTGAGGATTTGGTATGTCACATTTGACCTATTATTGCATGTCTTACAGTTTGAGTTCAAGAATAATATGCTTCATGTGTACTTATCTCAATCCAATTGTTTAGTCTTTGCTTGAGTCCTTATATTAGTTGATTCATGTTCAAAATGTGTCAAGATTGCATTCAGCTTTCAGAACCTTGCATTTATCTGTATACTTGACTTAAAGTTCATTGGTGAAATCAGATATCTCACTACAGTCTTCATTCTTTAGTCCATCAGTAATGACAGATGTTGTCCTGTCACTGAATGAGATTCTACCAGTCTTCCTAGTTTTAAGTCCAAGGAAAATATGAAATTGTGATTGAAATAATTCAGTCTGAGATTGTGTACGATCAGGAATTGAGGAAGATGATTAGAGACTAGATTACCACTGATGGCATTCATAGCATGACTATTTGCAAATATATTATCAATGAAGGTTGCTGATCTTTAAGTAATACGTGTTGATTGTGAGATGCAAGGTACAAGAGAAAAGGAGTTTAGCATTAGCAAGAAATCATTGGACTCAGGATGACTTTCACAATTGAATAAGTTTATATGAAAATCACCCATAATGAAGAGGGACTTATTTACCCTAGTTAGCCGAGATAAAGTTGACTCGAGATGTTCTCTGAACCTTAGGGGTAGAGGAATGGTGTCTATAGGTACAAGGACGAAAAACATTTTTGACTTTTCTATCAATTATGTGGACTTTCTTTGTCGATTCTAAGTCAGCCTCGTCGTTCAATCTTTTAGGGACGAGGTTGTGGCTGCCGTCTCACTCCAACGCGAACGCTTTCAATTGAGCTGGGAGGTCAACATGAAAGCCAGGGAAAGCTGCAACTTGGTCCTTTTAAGCCTGTATGTTTTCATTCCACCATCCCGGGGTCTTGAGATGCGAACTCTTCGAATTGTCACAGAGCCAGACAGCTTGGAGGCACGACAGCGGAAGGAACAAAATCTGCTGGTGATGAGGGAAGATTCGATTCTGGTCCACTTTAATGATTA